AGACGAGGGTTCGAATCCTGCCAAGGGCATTTGATATTTTTCTCTTACTCTCTCTACTTCATAATATACACACCGAACGCATAACTTATTACTACAAGAAAAACGCACTTGAGAACAGGAGTCTACAGACGAAATCGCTTCCAAGTGCATGGAAAAGTCGGATAACGTGCTGTTCACTGTAGAGCATTCAATAGTATTACTAGCCGATGTAAAAATGTTATCAAGAAATATATTCAGAATTCAATTTCCCTGCATTGTTGAAACCGATAAATGATCTCCTAAATTTTGCATTCATATTGGCGTGACATCATTTCAAGGAAGTCAATAAGGTCACGCAAATTTCCAAGAATCGCCTAACAATAGACTGACAAACAACATTATTCAGACAACTCCCTCTTCTCGTCTCAACTCCTGAAGACATGGAATCGTTTGTTGAAGATCTTAAGAAAGAACTCCAATGCTCCCTGTGTAATGATACTTTCACTGAACCAAAGATCTTGTCGTGTTTCCACACATATTGTAAGCCTTGCGTCAAACGACACGCCGAGCAAGTCGACCAAATCAACATCTTCAAGTGTCCTCGATGCAATAAATCACAAACATTTCTACCAGAAATAAACAGCGTCGAAGATCTACAGCCAAGTCTAATACATTCCCGAATGTTGAAGGGTCTGGCGTTGGTAGAAGGAGAAAAGGCTTGTTCTGTTTCTGAGAGTCATTCGTCAGCTTCTTGGTATTGTTTTGACTGTGATCGCTCGATGTGTGATGAATGCGAGAAGAGTCATTCATTGTTTATCAAAGATCACAAGGTCATTCGTCTGGCTGATTTGAAGAAAAAAGATATTCAGTTCATAATAACAAGAGAAAATCCTTGTTCAAGTCACCCTCATCACAGGCTAGAGTTCTTCTGCGAAGATTGTGATGCAATGATTTGCGGAACATGCTTGAAACACGATCACAGGAAACATGAGACAATGTCATTGAATAAGTTTGCTTCGATCAAGAAAGCTGAATTGTCAAAGCATCTGCAGGTACTAGAGCAGTTGAGATTAGATGACAAGGAAAAGCAACAACAAGAAAAGATTGCTGACACAATCAAACAACAAGGAGAAAAGGCARAAAAAGAAGTCAAAGACAAAACCAAGAAGATCATCCAAATACWACAAGACAACGAACGAGAATTGCTGAGACAAATCGATGAGAAGTTGGACACAGCCACAACAAACTTGAATATAATWCATCATATWCCAGCCATCAAGGAATACATCAAGAATGTGATGGAAAGAGGACTGGCAAGTGAAATGATGAACATTCAAGAGACACAATGCTCTCAGAAAGTCATCTTCAATCCCATTCCACCACACTCTAGAATACAATATGTTGCTAATGAAGAACTGATGCGACAAGTGAATTCAGGGCTGGGAGAAATACAAACTTGTTTGAAAACAGACCACACTAAGAGCACTATGGAGGTGAAGTCTGAGACAGAAGCTTTAAAGAAAGAAAAGCTGATAGTGACAACTAAATCCTCTACAGGAAAAGTCAATCATGAACCAAGGGATGTTATAGACGTTCAAATCAAGCCTGACGAAAATGTGAAAATGGAAAAGAAATATGTGAGAACTGATGSTAAAGTAGAAGTTGAATTCATGGCTAAAGTAGCTGGTCAGTTGACAGCAGAGGTTCAAGTGAATGGGAATCATGTATCTAACAGTAAACTAGTGGTGAAGGTCAAGCCACAAGACATGAGAATAACAGGACAGTTTAACGTGAAAGGTGAAGATATAGAATCCAGTTGGTTATCAGGTATAGCAGTAAACGCAGACAATAGTAGGATCGCTGTTACCAACTGGTGTTATCACTCTGTCCATGTATTCACCACTGATGGAGATCTCTTACTGACGTATGGTAGTCAAAGTAGTGCACAGGGACAGTTGGATAGTCCTCAAGGTTTAGCATTTCTGAATGATACAGATTTAGTCATTACAGACACTGGTAATCATAGAATATGTATAGTGAGCACTACAACAGGAACATTGGTAAAAACCTATGGTAACCAAGGTAACGGTGATGGAGAGTTAAGTAATCCACTTGGAGTACACGTTGATGACGTTGGTAACATCATTGTGTGTGATGGTGGTAATCATCGTGTTCAAGTCTTCACAAGAGACGGTGACTATCAATATCAATTTGGTTTGACAGCACAGGGCGAGTTTACTCCATATGATGTGATAACACATGATGGACTGTTTTACGTCAGTGATTTTAATAATCACATTATTCATGTATTTGAGAAGAAAGGTAACGTACCGACTAGAATATCGACGATTGGTGGTAGAGGCAGTGCTGATGGTCAGCTGAATAGACCATTGGGCCTGGCTATTGATAATGACCATCATCTACTGGTGTCTAATTATGGTAATAACCGCGTACAAAAATTCACATTGGATGGTCGTTTTGTAGGAAAGACTTGTGATGTAATCAAGAGCCCTCAATATATAACTGTTTTAAAGGATGGTCTGTTATTAGTTAGTACGTTGAAATCTGGTGTTTGGTATGTAAAATAGAACTGACTATTATTTCACGGTAACAGATTTGATCGGTATGACACATTGAATGATATCCCTGGGCTTGACATGTGCTAAAATATGACCATTTAGCGTTTAAAGTGCGACTACATATAACGAAGGCAAGATGAATTAGTGAATTCTGGATTTTAAAGGGTTTCTTACATACAAATCATACACACACACACACACACACACACACACACACACACACGTATAAAGTAAAATATATGCTTTCAAAGGGAAAAAAAAAATTGTACAGATTCTATTCTTTAAATACTCAATCGTGATGATTGGCTAATTTGTATGAATAGTTGTCTGGTTGGGCTTGGTTGGTGTAGTCGCACTGTTCCCTGCTGGGAGAGGCTCCTCTTCGTCTTCTTTTTTTTGTTTTGTTTTGTTTTCAGGGACAGGGAGAAAAAAAGAAGACTCTGTCCCGATCCGTTGAATTTCTTGATCTAGCCGCCGTCCATGGTTATGGACGTGGAAAACCGTTTTTTGGAATTGAACACCTCTACGCATGACAACCGCAAAGCCTACTGTAAGATTATAATATAGCCCGCAATACTAGTGAGCATATCTTTTTTACGACAACTGCTGACTGTTAACGAGCCCATTATTTCCAATGTCATTAGTTGCCTAGTAACGTTCAAACATGCGTAACATAAAAGGTGACGGTTGGGGGCAGAGTCTCCTTTACAATACAATAACTTTATTGATCTCCCTCTAAAGGGCTTTTCAGATCTAATTTACATAAATAAAACTACTTAACTTACATTGATAAAACTAAGCTAACCTAAACTAAGGCCCCGACCACGCTATGCCGGATAAATTTGAATCCGAATTTTTATTTATTCGGTTAGGCCAACCGTCCACACTAGTSCGGGCGAATCCGGAACAATTCTTCACCGAAAACGAATTTTTTTCGCATACGGTCTCCAAAGTGGAACAATTTGAAAACGCTGGCTAGCCGTATTAGTGTGGACGGAGAACATTTCGTACCCGAAATTTTTTGAATACGATGACGTCATGATTGTCATATGATAATGGCGGGAAGGCTAAAAATTCACCGCGGGCTCAATTTCAGCGCTTCGATGCACATGCTCAGATGTGCAATGAAGCGTTTTTGCCGCCTCTGATCGGACTAGTGTGTGTTTTCATGTGTGGACGGAAAACTTTTTTTTCGGTTTCGGTGTGAAAGTTGCGGATTCAAATTTATCCGGCATAGTGTGGGGGGTACGGGGCCTAAGAAAAACAGTATTTACAAATAACTACTAGAAATAGGATATCCTAAAGTATAATGTTATAATGCTATTATTGTAAAGGACACGAACCAAGAGATTCGATTCCATGAGGGTCTCAAAGGTATGTAATGTAAATAATAGCACATTTGATGCTTGGATAATAAATAGACTTATTATTGATTAATTGAAAAGCAATAGTTAAAAAGTACTTAGAGGAACTAATCCTTTTCCTCGCAAATGCCGATCCAGCAAAATAAAAAGGAGACTGTCGCACTGTAAAAAAATAAGAAATTATTTTGATTATTTTCTATTTTTTGCCTTTTGGTTTTTTTAATCTCCTTCCAATGCTTTAATTTTTTGTTCATTTTTTTGTTCTGTTTTTCTTTTTCTAAGTTTTATATTCTATATATATGTTAGAAGATGTCAAAAGCTAAGGTATATGGTGAAAATCTGTGAAATCATATTAAAATTATATTATTCATAGCAATTCATAGCATTTCCGGTTGTTTTTTGTTTTTGTTTGTTTTTTGTTTTTGCTCCATCTGATAATGGCTTGAGAGAAAACTTGACTCAATTTTTGTGTTTCTCCGCTGATTGAAAGAAATTGCCAGCACAACCGAAATTTGTTGTAAATTTTCATTTACACAAGGAAGAAAAATTTGTCAATGGGCTTATTGACGCGCAAGCCATGTTTGTTCTTATGAGATTAAAAAATATTTGTTTGACCAGCATTAATGTATTCTCAAACACTCGAAGGCCATGCGTGGGAAAACCTATTGTTCAAATCAACGAGGCTGCCGCTTGAACTATGTCTAACGAGAATTATCTAAGAAGACTTGAAAATCGTCGACACGGTCGATGGAACATGTCAAAGATACTTGTATAAAGGAAAACTTGCTTGTGTATTAGGCATTACGAGGTTGAGGGGAAACTAGGTCGAGTTGGCATTGCAGTGCATTGTGGGGTTGTATTAGGGGGCATATTTCCAAGATGGCGTCGTTTTCGTCCCCTTAACAGCACCACAATGCACTGTGATACCAACTTCAGTTTTTCTCTCAACTTGGGAATGGCTAGAGTACCGTGATGCTTTATAAGACAAATAGAGTTAAGAACATTTTCACATAGTGTATTAATATTTAGAATGTAATAGTAATCACAAAATAAATACAGAAATATTGATTAGAATTTTTATTCAATTATCTTATTTACAAAATGATATGTAAAATTTACACAATTCAGCTTGCAGCCGGCAACAGTATATTACTAATAAACTATCTACACCTAATCACGAGAAGGTTGTCGTATACAATTTCAAATTAATAAAAAAAGCAAAATAGTAATAATTATCAATGGATAGAGTGCAAACAATTAATCCGTGAAACACTAATTACTAAATAATACAAAATAGTGCTAATTAAAGGTTATAGAGTGACCACAGTAAATCCGTGAAACTTTAGTAATACTAAATAGCACAATTTCATGTAAATTCCCTTGTTTTCTATTGTTTAACTAGCACTATTTTGTACTATTTAGTAATTAGTGTTTCACGAATTTACTGTGGTCACTCTATTTTTTTGCACTCTACTTGATTCTTTCAGTTTCTATCAATATTCACGTGACAACTTCAAAAAAAAAAAAAAAAAAAAAAAAAAATCCAGAAAGGGTCTAGGGTATAACTAGGAAACTATATGGTTTATTTAGGAGCTAGGCATTTCCTCTCATTACAATCTATATTTAGCTTTATTTATTTTACCAAATAAGTATTTTCTTTTCAATGATCTAAATATTTAATTTAATGTAATGTAACATAAAAGGAAATGTGAATATAGATGTATTGCATAGAAATTGGTTTGCGGATTTTCTGCCCCATCATTCCACAAAGAAATACTCTACATCATTTTTTTCAATATTCAAATTCTTTAATTTTTTATTCATTTATTTTATTATTTTTTTCCTACAGCCTTCAAACATAACGATGATTTTACTTTTGAGCGCTTTACAAGATTATGAAAGCTTTATTTTATTATAATGCGAAATTACACTTTTGAAATTGATGATGACGTAGCCCAGTAAAACCTATCACTATTAGTTTCCCTCACGATGCACTCACTGATTGCTTTTACTTAGTGGATCGTCCCAGACTCGGGTACGTTACGTTAGTAGGGCAATATGATAGAAAATAAGGATTTTAGATCATAATTACCATTGTGCATTTTAAGGATTTTATGTCGAAGATAGGCGTTGTCAGGGGCCGCATTTTCCAGCCTTCCCAATTGTTATGATTGACAGAGCAAATTTTGAAAAATCTCGCCAAATTAGCCTTGGATTTAGCCCCCAACGCTCTTTTTGCTTCTAGGGTTTCCTGTGACGAGCTCTTTCTCTCCCTCCCTCGTCCTCACTCCTACTCCTCTCTCGTCCCTAGTTCCCCATTATCTGCAGTAAAATTTAACGCAGGTACCCCAACACAGAATACATGGCGGTAGCCTGCGGAGGAGGCTAACTCCGATCGAGCTCAAACTTTACACGGTCACTAACTAAAACCCATAAAGCAACATATCAAAGTTTTGTCAAGATTTATTAGAAACATACGTTATATTTGAACCTTAGCAGAGTGATCACATAAATTTACAGTAAATCGCATTAAAGAAAATTTCTTGAGCTGCCTATGGAATGCCGATTAAAAATAATTATCCTAAATAATTATGCATTCATAGCGTGACATCATTTCAAGGAAGTAAGGTCACACTCATTTCCAAGAATCGGCTAACAATAGACTTACAAAGAATATTATTCTGACAACACCCTCAACTCGTCTCGTATCAACTCCTGAAGACATGGAATCGTTTGTTGAAGATCTTAAGAAAGAACTCCAATGTTCCCTGTGTAATGATACTTTCACTGAACCAAAGATCTTGTCGTGTTTCCACACATTTTGTAAGCCTTGCGTCAAACGACACGCCGAACAAGTCGACCAAATCAACATCTTCAAGTGTCCTCGATGCAAATCAAAGACTTCTCTAACAGAATTAAGCAGCGTCGAAGATCTACAGCCAAGTCTACTACATTCCCGAATGTTGAAGGGTCTGGCGTTGGTAGAAGGAGAAAAGGCTTGTTCTGTTTCTGAAAGTCATTTGTCAGCTTCTTGGTATTGTTTTGACTGTGATCGCTCGATGTGTGATGAATGCGAGAAGAACCATTCAGTGTTTACAAAACATCACAAGGTCGTTCGTCTGGCTGATTTGAAGAAAGAAGATATTGAATTCGTATTAACAATAGAAAATCCTTGTACAAGTCACCCTCATCACAGGCTAGAGTTCTTCTGCGAAGATTGTGATGCAATGATTTGCGTGACATGCTTGAAACACGATCACAGGAAACATGAGACAATGTCATTGGACAAATTTGCTTCGATCAAGAAAGCTGTATTGTCAAAGCATCTGCAGGTACTAGAGCAGTTGAGATTAGATGACAAGGAAAAGCAACAACAAGAAAAGATTGCTAACACAATCAAACAACAAGGAGAAAAAGCTAAAAAGGAAGTCAAAGACAAAACCAAGAAGATCATTCAAATACTACAAAACAACGAACGAGAATTGCTGAGAAAAATCGATGAGGAGTTGAGCAGCAGTAAGGGGGACTCGCGATCGATGCCAAAGATTTAGGGGTTTAAC